AGAGATGAGGCCACAGAAGAGGAAAAGAAACCCAAATCGGGATCACCGGTGACTCAACCCCGGCATCAACAAGGGGAGACGACTTTGTAAGCTTCATGTAACAATTAAAAACCAGATACGATCTATGGCAGAAAATGCGGCAATAATCTAGGTCATTAACAAGCTTGATAAGGATATGAGACGAATCCAGCAAGGTGGCCGATACATCTCCAATGAGCTTGAGATTGAAAAAAAAAATTACGAATTGAATCTAGGGACAGACGTTTAGCAGGAAAGAAACCAACTAAAGAACTAAAAAGGAACTGCCAACGCCTTAATTTCTTGATCTGAAATTCAAAGGGAAGGCAAACCACGGTAAGAAGAAACCTTAAGTTCATGAAACTCATTTCCAGCAGAAGGACCCGAGAGAGCATCTAAAAAAGATCGATAAGAAGGCGAGCCCCCTAAAAAACCAGGGTCGGAAAGCTTCGGTGCTATCCGGCACGCGCCGGAGGAAGAAAAACACCACCAAAACCAAAAATGAACTAACAAAGAGGAAAAAGGAGAATAACCACTTCCCTGGAAACGAGTAGAGAGCCAGCCCTACCGGAGAGCGGCCTAGCAACGCAAGGGAAACGCAGGACAATAACTGAACTACCTTGCCTAAATGTAGAAGGCATAGGGCAACTTTGAATATTCTGCATACATGCATGTCACAACTCAAAGAATAAGAAAGTGAATTCCAACTCAAACCTCATTATATACATCGGTCAAAAATTGAATCTATTAATGCATAGTGCTGCTATATTGTTCGGTAGAGACGGCTTTCTTACAGCTTATTGAAACAACGTTTTAGCACAAAAAAACTGAATTATGAAGCAGTAAGAAAGCTGTCCAAACGGAGCCTGGCTCTCTAATGGGGTCTAAAGTTTTCATTGAAATCTCTATTACTATTATGTATTCTTTAATTCTCTTGTTATATTTTCCTTTTTAGCTTTGTAGAGGAGCTTAATACAAGTTACCTTCATAGAACGTTGAAATCAAGAGCATAAATGATGAGAAGAAAGCATCCATGGCTGCTCAATTTGTAGCAGAAGCTACACTTGAACGGGTTCATGCGGCTCAGAAAGATGATGATATGCCTCCCATTGAAGCTATCCTTGCATCCCTTGAAGCAGAACTAAGAATATTTTCAATTAGTAGATAAGCATATTTGAAATATTGTAAGTTTATACTTACTATTATAATCGGAGAACTTTATTCTGCTTGCAAACATCACTTCTGATTGCTATATATCTTCATCTAAAGACTGATTTTGCTGTTTTTATTTGTCTGCCTTATTGCATATAAGAAATTGCACGTGCACAAAGTGCTCGTGAACAAAATGCACGTGAATAAAATTGTAAGAAAAAAATTCTTATAAAAATATATTTTTTATTTATATGAATTAATAATTTAACAAATTAATATAACCCAATTTTCACAAACCTATCACACAAATTTTGGAATAACAATTTTATAAGAACATAATATATAACATGTAAATTAATTAAAATTATCATAATATTGTTTTTCTTCTTATCTTAATCTTCAACTACCTCACCGTGAATTTTTCAACCCTTAATCTACCAGTTAAAATAGTTACTTATTATATTGCCAATAACAAAATTAATATAACATAATTTTCTTCAATTAAAAATGTATCTACTTCATTTGTTACAATAATAAATAGATTAATGATACATCATCTTAAAAAATTTATCGGGCACGAATCTCAAGGCAAAATTAACGTGGAAACTTCCAAAATTTAAATTGGGACCATCCAAACTCCAATTACAGCAAACTTATAGTCAAACTGAGCGTCTCTGAATTGCAAACCCAACGACATCAAAATCGACTCAATCTAAGTCCAAACGGGTCCAAATAAAAGACCCCAAATGCTATTGAAAGGTTCAAACAGCAATTTAGATTACCAAATGGTTTCCAAATATGACATGCTTATAGTCGAATCGAGCGGCTCAACGAGGCAAATCTAACGAGCCCAAGATCATCGAATTCCAACATTATTAAGACCTTCAAATGGCTAGCAAACGATCCACAATCAAGGGATTCAACATCGGTCGTCCATCCAAACCACTCCCCATTTTCCCTTGATCTTCCTCTTATTTATGGGTCATGCCACTCTAAAAATTTTATAAATAGGCCCCTCTTTCCTCTTGAAAAGGGACCCTAAGCCTAAGGAAACAAGAGAGAGATCAGAGATCACTCTTGCCTCCTTGACCACTTCTCGGAGTTTCGTCGGACAACCACCTAACGTCGTTGTCCCACCAGACCACCACCTGACGTCGTTGTCCCTCAAGACCACCACCTGACGCCCGAAGTTTCGTCGGACGACCACCTGACGTTGTGGTTCCACCAGGCCACTACCTAATGACGTCGTTCCGTCGGACCATCACCTGACGTCGTTGTTTCGCCGGACCACCAACTAACGCCCGAACCTCCAAGTAACGTCGGACTTCCACCTGACCACCACTTGGTGCGTCGTCCCACTAGACCAGCACCTGATGCCTAGAGTTATGTCGAACCACCACCTAACACAGTTGTTCTGCAGGACCACCACCTAACGCTGTTGTTTTGCCAGACCACCACCTGACGCCATTGTTTTGCCGGAAAACACCTATTGTCCGAAGTTCTTCATACCACCTACATGATGTCAGAGTTCTGCCAGACCATCACCTGACCCCTGGAGTTCCACTGGAGCACCACCTGATGCCCATTGTTCTGCCGAACCACCACCTGACGCCAGAGTTGTGTCGGATCACCACCTAAAGCTCGGAGTTTTCTATCAGGCTATAGCCTGATGCGAAAGTTCTACCAAATCACCACTAGGCTACCAACTGACGCCTAAACCTCCAAGTAATGCCATACTTCCATCAGACCATTAAGTGAAGCCAGACTATCACCCCCATTTGTCACTAGATTTCAACCATATGGTTGACATTGTAATCTGATCGCCCTCAAGGATGAGTCAGCCCATTATAATCTATTTGTTTTTACCTTTTTCAGGATTTTCCATGTAAAAAATATTGTGTTATCTATGTGTGAGATGGATATCCGTGCAATGCTAAGACGCAGGATTTTAACTCTATCGCCGCGCATATTCTAGCCTGCAAAAATTAACAATTGCATCAAATTAGACGGTAAGAAACATGAAAATTGTTACAAACGCACCTCACATTATAAAAAAGTTAAAAACGTACAAGAGTTTTTTTTTTTAATATAATCTCTTATGAGAAAAGTATTCATTGTTTTTATAACCATGTTATTAATTCATATAAAATTAAGAGGTGTGGAATTGTATTAGCCAAATAATAAATATTTATAATTAAATAATTAATAACAATAATTCTGAGATTAAGTGATAATTCTATCTCATTTATTTTTTTTATATCGAGAGGTAAATTCAAAAGTTAAGTTTATGAATAAATTTAAAATAATTTTAATATTTAGGTATTGTATAAATAAATATCAAAATTCAAAGGTGAGATATATAAAAGTTTTGATGAGTTAGAAGTTTTTGTTGTTGTCATTGATTGGCTTTCTAGTATGAACGGTCATCCACTGAAGAGGAAATAATGAAAAAATAGAAAAGAATATATATACTTTAAATTCAGAGCTTTATTATTATTATTATATTTATTTACTTTAATTTTTCTAATGGTTATAGAACATATTTTAACATCTCCAAACTTGATTATGACTTTACGGCCATCAAAATATTCATGGGTGATGTCACCCTGAATTTTAGTAGACATTAGAAAAAGAGCATTAGCTTCCTTTTGAAAAATGGGAAACTCGATAAAATAAAAATTAGCATTTGTTGAGTCTTCTAAGTAGGAGAAATGTGTATTGCCTCTAGTTCATAAGTCATAGTCTCGATTCCTATGTGAAGATCAAAATCAGTGAAAAATAATTTTTTGTGTGAGTTGTTAGAAACTTTCTCCAAATGAAATTAGTAGGAGAAGAAATGAAATATTTTTTTTATTGAAATCATGATTACTTGCTAACCTCTGTAAGGGTGAAAAGAGGAACAATCATGAGGAGTAACTGTTAACAATTTTAAAGAGAAATCATATCATAAAATAGAAGAAACAGATAACAAAGAATAGGGGAAAGAGCATAAACGTGCTAGTTGCATAATCCGGTATTAGGAAATGATCTAAACTTTTATGTTGAATAAAAATCCAGCATTAGGAAAGGACTGAAGCAACAATGATAATGTTGCGTGGAGAGTTTATGGGAGGAGATATCAGGCGATGGAGAGAGGGCAAGATTATATTTGAATAATTAAAATGAAAGACTACGATTTTGCTTGGAAAGAAAAACAAGAGAATTTTTCGATAGTAGTGTCAAAAGATGAATATGAAGGGATATTTAATAAATATGAATTAAGACTACAATAAAAGGGAATAAGAAGTGTAAGAGATATGAAGTACAAAGAATATGAATGGATATTTAATGAATACAAATTAAGACCGCAAAAAAGGGCAAATAAAAAATATAGGGTATACGAAGGAGGGAATACGAAGAGGTATTTAATAAATATGAAGGAAGACTAAAAAGTATTAGGGAATCCAAAATATTTATTCATTTATTTGCTTAAATGAAAAGTAATTATATATTAATTATTTTTAAATTATCAATTAATCATAATAATATAATAAAATCAAAGGCCATGATTCTATTTGAATAATTAAAATAAAAGGTGGAATTTTGTTTGGGAATTAACTCAAGCAATTTTTAATAGTAGTATAAATTAAAACGAGGTTTTTAAACTAAATATTAAATTAATATTTACTCAACTAATCACCTAATTAAGTATTTATATTTTAAATTATATTAATTATGCTAATTAAATTATAACTTTTTTTTGATCGGGCAGATTAAAGGATTCCAGGGCAGGATGGCTGGCAGAAAGCCTGGAATGCCTTCGGTCGACCACTCGACCAACAGCCGGCAAATCTCATTAATGCCTAATTAAGAAATTAAGAATTAATCAAATCCTCATACGTGTGTTGGCTTTCCCGCTTCGGTTCCTGCTTCCTCTTCCGCTTCGCTGGTTTGCGCTGGCTAGAGCTTCGAACGTTGCGATTGCCGGTTTTGCTTTTCCTCTTCTGGATTTATTCGTTGCTGTTTGCTTCGCGTGAAAGTGGAGTTCTGAAAGAGTCGAAGCGTCTCCGCCTCCTCCCACGACGTTGTTCCTGTCGGATCGGAAGTGCCAGGAGTTCGCCGGCAAGGTAACGATATTTCTCCCCTAACGCGCGCTTCTTCGGTCGGATTTACGAAACCCGCAAAAAAGTTTGAATTTGGAAATCCAGGGTTTATACTTACCGTGAAATTTAACTTTGATTTTTTGGCGTTTGGCAGGATTTGGAATCCACCATGTATAAGAGCAGAGCTTTGACCCCTTGCAGCCATCTGTTTCAGCATTTCTCTCATTCTTCTAAACACCAGATCCCCTCCTTTTTTCGCTACCATGGAATTGAACACCAACGACAGTATCATCGTCTCCTTCCGGAGTATATCGCCCAAGAACCTACTCACACACAAATGGACTCGTGCCTTCAAATAGCTAGGTTGAAAGGGATTCCGGCTGCGGATGAAGGCTCCAATTTCGTCTTCTCACCGCTCTCTATCCGCGCTGCTCTGAGCCTGACGGCTGCCGGCGCAAAGGGGGAGACGCTGCGGCAGCTTCTGTCCTTTCTTGGCTCGCCGCCCTTCATAGACCATCTACACTCTGCTTCTGCACGCCTCGTTGAAGCCGTACGTGAAGGAGACAGTGAGCTGCTTCTCTCGTTTGTCAACGGGCTGTGGATTGATCGCTCTGTGACGGTCAATTCCTCGTTCATGGGGATCGCTGCATCCATCTATCATGCGGCTGCCGAGTCCGCTGACTTCAAACACGAGGTAAACCAACTTCTTCCCTTTCTAAATCAATTTATTTTGAGTTTAAATTACTATTATAATTTTAAGGGGCTGTTTTGGTAGAATCTAGGATTTTATTAAGTAGGATTTCGTAAATCCTCCAAATCCAGATTTAAGAAATCCCGAGGGGTTTAAATCCTGAAAACTGTTTGGTAACTTTCATGATAAATGTTATGTGACTGTTTGGCTATTCCATTCAGGATTTAAAGAGGTTGAAATATTTGGGCGGAGTTTTTTCCTTCCCGCGCCAATAGAGCCAGAGGATTTCGGAAATCCGCTGAATGAGAGGATTTCAGAAATCCGGGATTTATGACGAAAAGGCGGAATTTTCATCTACGACAGCTTTCATTTTCCATGAGATTTGGTTTTGCATTTTAGGCCGTTTGGCTGGATTTCGCCTCAAATCCACCTCAAATCCGGCCTAAATCCGCATACCAAACGGCCCCTAAATCTTGATCTATTTTACTTGATTCATTGATTTTGATGCGAACTAACTTAGAGCCGAAGGAAGATTAAAAAAAACACGTTTCAGTAGTTGAAAATGAACTAGTAAGGGCTTTTGCTTGTGTTGGCAAAGCTGATTCACAGCAAAAGCAATATCTGGCCTAGTTATGGTTAAATACAGTAGAGATCCGGCAAGCTACCTATAGTGTTTAGGTTGAGTATAAGAGCAGAAGTTGCATCAGCTGGCGCTAGCTTAGGTGACAAAGGAGTTTGAACTGGTTTGCAGTCATGCATTCCAGCCTTAATTAGAAGCTCAGAAATGTACCAAGATTATGTAAGTAGCAGTCCATTATCAGTTTGAAGTACTTCAATACCAAGGAAGTGGTGAACTTGATCAAGATTTTGCATAAGAAATATGTTTTATAAATTATACAGCAAATGGTCAATGACAAGTCTATCATTTCCAGTTAGTAAGATATCATCAAGATAAACTAAGTCTTGCAAATAGAGATTTATGCTAAGATAACATCAAAGACGACAAAATAAACTTCATAAAACATTAAGAACAATAAAAAAATTTGAACAATTAGATCATGTGATAGCAAGAAACTAACAAGTAGAGGCTAAACAACAACAAAAGGTGAATCAATTTAGACTAGCTAACATGAATTGACACAAATCCAACATTTAATTAAGGGATTAATCAATAGAGTTTCTATTTGCTCAAATTTAAGTAGAACTTGACGGATTAATCAACACATATGAAATGATGCTACTATAGATGAAATAAGAAGACCAATATTTAGTTAGATGAAGAATAAGAGGAGGGTTTGATACTTAGCTCATGAATAGGAGGAATAGAGTCCTTGATGAAATGATGGCTAGTTCCTCCTTGGCTTTGCCCTTATAACCCTTGTTCTTTGTTGAATCAATGTCCTTGTTGAATTAGTAGAAGCTAGGTTTCTTTGGAGAGGTTCACGATTTTGGGGTTTGGAGGGGAAAACTAGGCTGGCTGCATAGGGAGGAGGAGGGGAGAGATGAGTTGGCTGATTTTAGTGGCTTGAAAAGAAAAAAAGTTAGCTTGAGAGGTAAAGAGGTTGGGGCTGGCTGCTTAGGAAAGATAAAGGGTTTATGTGCCTTGCTTGGGAAGGGGATTAGTTGGCTTGGGAAAGGAAAAATAGTCATTTTGGGAGGTGAAGAGGTGGGGCAGGCTGCTTTGGGAAGATAAAGGGCTGATCTGGCTTGCTTGGGAAGGAGATTAGTTGGCTTGGGAAAGAAAAAAATCAGCTTGGGAGTTAAAGAGGTGGGGCTGGCTACTTTGAGAAGATAAAGGGCTGATGTAGCTTGCTTTGGGAAGGGGAAAAGTTAAAGTGGTTGTGGATCTCCAAAAGTCACAACTAATTGAGATAAGTGCTCAATTAATGTGAATTAAATGCAGAATTGGGAAGCCCATGTGAAGTTTTGTTTCTGCTCCAGGATCGTTGAAATTTGCTCCAGAAATTGCCCAGATTGCTCCAGGTGATTTTTCTCCCAGGATCGGCCAGGCCGATAGGGGCATCGTCCCAGGCCGATCAGTTCAGTGCAAAAGACAGAGAGCAGGACTTTTTCAGAATTAATTATCGTCCTGAGGATCGTCCATGGAATCGGCCAGGACGATGGGTTTTTGGTCTGATCGTCCAGGACGATCGAGGCATCGTCCCGGGACGATCAGTGGATGGCACAAGTCAGAGAGCAAGGGGTTTTTGAAAATTAATTATCGTCCTGAATCGTCCTGCGAAATCGTCCCAAGACGATGTGAAATTGGTCTGGACGATCGTGCGATCGGCCAGGACGATCTGAGTATTTTAAAGCTGAAATCAGGTCATTTTGAAGAGAGAGAAAATCAAAATAAATATCTAAAATCAGCCGAGGAGAGAGAAGCTCGAGGAGATTTGTGGAAAAGTTGATTTTCGGGCGACGACGGGCCGTTTTTGTCCGTCGTGACAGTTCAGTAAAGTGTTGTACGCAAGGTAAGGCACATTCCGCCTTTCTCAATTTTCAGAACGGTGCAATTTGAACGACTTTTCTATCCGGATTTCATTTTTGTTAACTAATTTCGTCCGTATTTGTAATATCTGATTTGATATGACTTCTGTTTTCGTACAGTTCTGTTTGATCTGTTCCGTATCTGTTCTGATTTGATATATGTTCATATCTGTTCTGATTTGATCTGTTTTGTTCTGATCTGCACGATTTTGATACCTGTCTGATTCTGTTCTGGTTTCTGTACGGATTTGGTTTGAAGTGTTTGGTTTTGGATTCTGGAAGTTTTGATTGGAGGTTTGTTGCTTTGCTGAGCTGTTGAGCTCACCCTCGTTTTCCGCGTGTGTTTTTCAGGCTCTGGGAAAGGGAAGGAGGTCTTGGACTAGAGTTCAGAGTTTGATCAGATCAGTTATAGGTATTTTGTACTTTTTGATTTTTGTACAGTCATGGCTTTTCTTCTTTGTTTTCTCTGTCAGCCATGTACTGTATTTGTAGATGATAGTTTTGAGGAAAAGAAAAATATAGATGATTTGTTCCGCTGCATTTGATGTTTCATAGTAGCTCTGTGTTTGTCTGTTTTGAGTTGAAATATTTGGAAGAATCAGTTCCGAAGAAAATTCCAAAGCCAGATCCTGGTCTGTCTGTTCGTTAAGCTGGTCGCGGCCCGGTGCGGGCGGGATCCGTCTCGGGTCGGGTCGTGACAGCCCAAGGGTCAAGGGTGTTGGGGAGAAGGTGGAGGAGGTTAGAGAGGAGGGGGGGGTTTGGTTGAGGGCAGCAGGTTGCTGCTGCTGTGGGAGGTTGTTTGGGCGGCTAGGGAAGGAGAAGAAAGAGATAGAGAGGGAAGATGATACCAACCAAGAGCTCACACGCTTTTGGGTATTTATTTGCCTTTCTCTAAAGGACTTCACACACAAACTCAACTCATCAAGAAAAGATGAAATATATAACCATAAATTTATATCAAAATATTTATCGTCCATACAAGAGAACAATAGGCCATATATATAGGCACCAAAAATATGAAAGGAACAAAAGACAAGAAGGCCTTTGGCCAAACAACACAAAATCTCCCTCAGTGAGAGTAAAACTACAATAAAATAAATGACACCATATAAATCTCATACAACACATGAAAACTAAAAATATAAAGACTCAATCAAGACCGTAGATCTCCAGCCTCTACAGTGATAAACCTTCCAAGCTCTGATGTCCCCATCAGCACCAGACCAGGTGCTTATTTGCTTGAGAGAAACAAGCTGGGGTTTGGGGAACAGGTTGATGTTGCAAATTAAAAATAGCTTTAGATTTTAGATGACCTGTTTAAGATCATGTGATCAATGGATGAGAAGGAATAGTTGTAGGCAAGGTGATAGGAGGGTTAGACGGCTGAAAAGTAACATTTGTAAATGTATGTAGAGGTGAAGGAAGAGAAGTTGTTTTAGTTATATGGGTTGGAAACTGAGAATTATTAGAAGTTGAAGAAGAGGTAGATGATGAGGTGGAGTAGACTAGCGGGTACAAGAGTAAGAGGATGTATATTGATGGATGAAAATGTTGTATGAGCCCTTTGAGGAGATGAGAGAAATGAGCATATGTTTTCATGGAATTTAACATGTCTAGATATAAATACGACCAGTGCTGGGTTCCAAACTTTTATATCCTTTGAAGTTTGGAGCGTAGCCAAGAAAAACACAAGGGGAAGACCGAGGATCAAATTTGGTGTGTAATTTGGAGGGAAATCATGGGTAACACAGACAACCAAAAACTTTACGATGTTGATAGTCAGGTGGGTGCTGAAACAAATGTTGATAAGGTGAAATATTATTGAGAGCCGAAGAGGGTAGTCAGTTAATAAGATAAGCAACAGTTAAAAGTGTTTTAACCTAGAAGCGACGAGGAATATTTGCAGTAAATAAGAGAGCACAGAGAGTTTTGAGAAGATGACGATTTTTATGTTTTGCTATGCCATTTTGCTCAAGGGTATATGGGAAACTAAAGCGATGAATGGTACCGAAATGAGTGAGCTTTGTCTGAAAAGCATAATTAACAAATTTGCCACCACCATCCAATTGTAAAGATTTGATAGGTTTTTTGGATTGTTTTTCAACAAGAGCTTTAAAATTGAGAAACTTCATAAATGTCTCAGATTTACATTTCATAGGATAAACCCAACAAAACCTAGAATAATTGTCAACAAACAGTAAATAGTATTTATAACATTGATGAGATAACACAGGGGCAGGTTCCTATATATCAGTGTGAATTAAGTCTAAGACATTGAGAGGAAATAGTAGAGGACAAGGGAAAAAGGTAAACGACGACTTTTGGCACTATCACAAGTAGAGTAGTGAGATGAGGTGGCAGGAGGCAGGCACAATTGAAGATGTGTTGACAGGAGGCGTTGAGTGGCAGTGGACGGATGACCCAAGCGTTGATGTCATATACTTGGAGTAGAGCAAGATGTGAATAATGCAATGGGCGAGTGAAGTGATGACTGAGCAGCCTGGCTTAATAGG